TCTCTATCCCTTCTCGGATGGAAGGACAACCAACCGTGAGGGTACTAATAGGTGTCACAATAAAGAACCAATTCTGATTAAATTTGTGCTGTGCAGTAACAGCCTCTATCTGCCAAAGACAGTCTACGTGACCGAGGGGAGGCACAGGAGGCGTCAAGATGTGACAGTTGCCAGACGAAATGCATTCGGATTTTTTGCCCGTCCAGTACTTTTCCTACTAGCCCTGACGTTATCCCGCTTGGGGGGGGAGGGGGGACTGAGAAGAGCGCCAGCAACCGCGCAGAAACAGCAGCATACCGGGACCTAAAGGTCGTAAGGAGGACTGCAGGCAACAGCAGCAGCAGCAGCAGAAAAAAAGAGACGCGTGACGTAGGAAAAAAAAATCTGCCCGGAAGACGCTGAAGGAGTAAAAGCAAGTGAGCGTAGTAACCTGCGCGCCAAGTAGGTAAGTAAATGTGCCCAAGGCTTCTAGCTACACTTAAGATTCTAATCATAAAACAACTCCTCAGTACCATAACCCACGGCGGAAATTTACTTGCTTTTTATGTTATCCTGCACGAATTTTACTGCCTGTCCATGGCAATGCCCACTCTTAAAACCCCCATTACCACTATTCCAGTTTTACATGATACTGCGGTAAGCGGCAGCTAAGGGGGTTTAAACAACCTATCAATGCCCCCCGGAGAAATATCCATAGTACCGTATATTGGAAATAGAGTAGTCGCCGGCTATTAAGCCCACGGTTAATAAGCCCAATTTGGTCTGGGCCCGATGTGAGCTTAATAACCGGCGACTACTATATTAAGCCCATGGTTAATAATATCGCCGCTTATTAAGCCCAATTTTGTCTGGGCCCGAGGTGGGCTTAATAGCCGGCGACTACTGTAACTACAGCAGCGTATTAAGAAGAGTTTCAGTTATTTAACGTGAACGTTCGGGGTAGCCTAATACGAAAATGGATGTCTTTGGTAATTTCTACTTATAGGGAACCCTAGACAGGACAAGAGAACAGTAAACGCCCGCAGTACACATATCCTTGTGCCAAATTAATGGGAAATAAGCTTGGGTTTAAGCTGAAGGTTAGACTGAAGGTGAGGGTTAGTGTTAATTGTAGGAGTGGTGTTCAGGGTAGGAATAGGATTACGATTAAGGCTAGTTAGGACTAATTTTAACGTGGACACAAGGGAATATGTATAATTTCTTGGACGGGGCCACATTTGCTACATAGACGAACTGGTCCGATTCCCGTGTCCTTACTATGTCCTTGAGTGATTCTGGCCCCAAATGTTATAAAACTCTTAATGACACCTACTAAGCATACTAACTAACAGACACAGGACGAAAGAAACACCGAATAAATTCGAAAAAAAAGCAATAAAAAGGCCAAAGAACTTTTTTGAATTCAAAATGCATGCGTCCACCACGGCTTTAATACGAGGCACGCGGCAAGACTGACGAACCCATGACCAATGGATGCACCAACTACAACACTGATGCTGGAAGTGATAAGTTTTTCGAAACGAAAGTACAAAAATAATTCGGTCCACGAACTCGCCCTGTCTTCTTCTTCGGCAGATGATGAAAAAGATGAGATATCTGGACCTTTAATCTTTACGCAGAATGATCTGCGTATGCCGAAACGTGACCGAAAATACATAACATACTGGAACCCTTTGCCGATAGAAGCAAACAGGCAAGTTCTAGGAAGCAATACACAGGGAGAAGAGGTAGTTGCTGGAGCAAATCCGAACAGTAAGGCCACCCTAAAATTCGCCTGTTCGATTACATCAGCAATTTATTTGGGCGCGATGCGCTCTGATCAGTTCAACGGTGGGAAACCATCGTCCCTGGAGAGTTGTCTATCTATGTGCAGATTCGGTTTCTGCACAGGTACCTCGACAATAATGTATTTGATACAAACCTCGGTTTAACAGAGAGCTGGCGGGACGCGCAGCAGAAGAATGGTGTAAGTGCTCCTTTGGTAATAAGGGTGGGCTCAAACGACAAACTGAAGGGTTAGGTCAATAAAAATTTTGTTCCGGTGATCGTATATCTTCTATTTTCTGGCAACCGATAT